AAGAAGCGCAATTTCGTAATATAAAATGCAATGACTATACAACCACGTGCCGCTCGCAGGATATGCATCTACCAACTTCACTTGGCACTGTAATTGCCGGTTGGTATAAAGCCTATAGGACAAAAAAAAGAAGTACTATCAGGAAAAATACATGCACACCGGAAGCGCTCACTCACGATTGTATGGTTATCGCACGTGTTAACAAATATATATAAAATTGGTGGTGGATCGCGCATGTCACAAAAAGGTACAAAAAGACTGACAACCAAGGCGCACGTTTGCCGTTGAATAATAAAGTTAAGTTTTAAATTTGTTGTGTTATAGCCATAGCAAAGGTTAATTGGCTTAAACAAGGTGCGTGTGGTGTTCTTTAAGATATGTGTCCGAGATTTCGCGCATGGTCTGGTTCGGGTGACTGTGGAAGATTGCCAGGCCTTCAAAGCTGACATTGCATTGGATTGGCTGAAGGTGCGTGGTGAGATGAAATGACTACATTGAAATAATTTTCATGCTCTGTGAGATGCGTGTTCATACATCAACCAGTCCGACCGATGTATATATGAACCCAAGAGGATTTCGATTACAAACTCTTGCACAACAATTGAAAGAACAATTTGCATGCCTATCATAATACTTTTTTTTGTCAGCTGCAGGCCCCTGCGATCTTTTGCACTCTACGAAAAAAAAATTACTAAGCATAATGTGCGGTTAACAAACCCTCACTTTGTATCACTTGGCAACTTCCTTTGAGAGTGCGCAGAACGTATACATAAAATAACTGCAACATTCTCAGTTTTTTCGTAAATGAAAGTTGTCCAAATTCTTCTTTGTATTGATAATGAGCTGTTCACTAACCGATGCACTGTGGTATAGGCTGGGCACCACACCTTCTTGCAGCTGCAAACGCTTATGTATTGTGCCCAAATATTTTGTTGTTTCTTCACCGATTATTATTAGGGCATTATTAATATTTATTCAACTATATTTGAATGCGCCATCGTGAAATTCAGTAGTAATCTTAATAAATGCGGAATATACTGCCAGCAAACATGCTCCGAAGACACTTAAGCATCTTATAATAAACCGCAAATTATGAGAGCCAGGTATCTCGCACATGAATAATAGTTTCACCCATATAAGCACGTTTAGAATGTGTTTATGTTCTTTTTTTTCAGCGCGAGACTTCTCCATAAAATTATTAAATCGTCTATAGATGTAACACTTCTCTGCTGCTTTGTGTCAACGGCCCAATGAAACCGTGATGCACATTCGGTTTCTAGTCAACAAGCGGCGGAATGTTTTTTTTGTGTTCACATGGAACCTACGAGCAGCTGGCGGAAAAAGAGCGTGTTCTCTCAGCGTGCTAACTTTTCCCTTAGTGCTCCGTGCACCCGCGGAGAATCGTGGGATTGCTTGAAAAAGGTCATTGTCCTTGGGCTAAGATCGTCCTCGAATTGAACATTTTTGAATTTGACAGAGGCTATTTTCTCCCAACAAATGGGAGAGTAATTCGAACGAGGCTAAAGCCAGACTATGCCAATATATTTAAGCATGAGATCCAATAAAGTTTTCTGTAAACCTATCTCACGCGCCTCGCTTTTTAAAAGCGGCACTTAGATGACATCTTTCTCGTCTGGACGGACACTGAAGAACAGCTGTTTAAATTAACCCATGCATTTAACAATGTCTATAGAAGTATTTCGTTCACGCGCTCTTATTCTAGAACTGCAATCACCTTCCTTGATGTTGACATAAACATCGAAAGAGAAAAACTTAGGAGCAGTGTTTACAGGAAGCCAACAGACGCGCAACTATAGCTACATTTCAAAAACTGTCATCCGCGGCATTGCAACACCTGCATTTCATACACCCAGACACATCAATATAGAAGAATCTGCTGAGAAAAAAAAAATTCAAAGAAAACACAGAGGGCCTACGTAACGTCTCTTTAATGCAGCAATATCCACCTCCCATCATTGCCGACGGGAGGTCACAAACATGAACCGCCACCAAATTTTGCACAATAACAATGAAGAAAGTAGAGAGAAATGGAGCAAACCTAATTTCCACATTTACTAGTAACGTGTATAATGTTAGTAAAATCATAAAAAACACTTCAATATCAATGAACAAAGCGACTGCCATTGAATGTTACCAAAATACTAAAAAACACTTCAATATCAATAAACAATGCGACTTCCTAAAAACTCTTCACTCTTCCGCGGTGGGTGGTACACTGATGCCCGAAAAATGTCAAGCACTACGTCATATACTCCCAAACGAACAGAATAGGGCAAGTTGCTTTTCACTCCTACGGTAAAGTAGATGTCAGGTGTTAAAGCACATGCTAACAACAATGACAGCTGAAAGTACGCATAATAATTATACCCAAATCATATATGGCAACCTTAACTGCGACTGCGCACACGTTGTTTACCTTTTTGAATGTGGCATCTGCACTAAACAATACATTGGACAAACTGATACGCCTTTCGAATCAGATTCAACAACCGTCACTAACATATGAACACACAACCCAAGCTTCCCAACTCCAAACGTACTAACTCAAAACACTAAAATACCACTACTTCAAGAAAGTTTGCACTTTCACAATTTCAACACCGTTGAACATAGACTGAATGAACATGCGGATGCTTTTTTTATGTTTTCGATGCTTAAAGCACAAACAAACGACCCGTATCATCAAGCCGGCGAAGCACCCAGCGGAAACGCATATGTAATCTACTGCTTTCGGCGATCGTACCTGCATTGTTTTTCATGCGTTCTTGTGTGCTTCCTTTTGCATGTATTGTTGTATTCTTGACTTTCGGGGAGAATCGTACTTGATCACTTTGAAAGAAATGACCGCAGTTTCCCGATTGAAAACACTGGTTAGCGTGCGGAGCACATATGTTGAACTGCGATAAATGTGGTTTGTAATTTGCGACATGCGTGTGCGTTATGAGGAAACAAGAGGAAACACGAGTGAACACGCACGCACGTATGCTGCGAAAGGTGATGTTCATTAATGAGACGCTTTGGGTATTTTGAGCAAGGTGGCTTTATGGTCCGTAAAGTGAAAAGTGAGTGGGTGTGGTTGCAGCGGACAAAGGTCGAAATTTGCACTTTGGTGACGCTATTGGAAGGGACGTCAGTAAGTGTGTTTACGGATTCGTTAGCACACATTTTAACCAGCGACTTCAGACGTGAAGCGACCGCACAAACCAACCGACAAAGGGCGGCGCGCCCCGACACTCAGTTATTTATAGCGAGCGCCGGCCCCGGCCTGTGCATGCGCGCGTTAGCATACAGCTGGCGTACGTAAAACTAAGGTCGCCGGGCGCGCGGAGGGGACAAGCGAGCGCAGCGCGCGCTGTGTTGAGAGGAAAAAGGGAGGCACAGATGGCTGGCGGAAGACAAGGGCAGGCTGCGGACGGCGACGGCGCATGACTAGCCCGTGGTTTAACATGCCCCACATGTAAAAAAGCCCGCCAACCATCTCCCTAGCTTTCTTTTTAGGGTCGAAGCTTCTTATAGCGGCAGCCGTACGTCCCTCGTAGTCATAGTAGTAGTGTGTAAACCGTCTTACATTTTGACCTCCAAAGAGGTGCCTGTGGGAGACTTCTTCTGTGCGTTGTTGAACAATAAAAATTTCGCAGCGTGCGCGTTAACCAAAAGCGGAATTCTCCTGTCTCACATTCCCTCTTAGCAGCCATTTGCGTGTGCACTGACTACTATCTGACAAAAAAGGGCTGCTATGTTATACTCGCTGGGCGCAACATCCTTGGTTTTAGAAAGGTTTAGTGAGCGTTGGGCCGCAGTGCCAAGAATACAGTCAACTAGTGTATACCGTGAACTCGAGGTAGTTAAAGGTGGGAAATAGACACGAAGCGCAAGCCGTAAGAAAGTGTGCGTGTGCTTCCTCTCGTTCAGTCCTTGGAATTTCCGCTGGAAGGCGGTACTTCTATATGAGGAATATATGAAAAGATGCGCGATGGTGGTACTTCGAGTGTTGAATAGGTGGACGAACGGACACACAGACAGATGCATGGATGGACGCACGGATGGCTGCACGGACGAATGAACGCATGGACGGACGCAGGAGCGGATGCATGGATGAACGCGGGGATGGACGCACAGATGGACGTGTGGACGTACGAATAGACGCACGCACGGACGGGCAGATGGACGCACGGGCGGCCACACAGACGCACGCATGGACGAACGGAAGCAGGAACGAATGGACGGACGGATGCTTCGCCCAACTCTCCATAATTCACTCCGTGGATATGCTGCCATTTTTTGCCAAAACCTGTCTCTCTTTTTTTTGTCTTTCTGCCTTTTTTCTTGTTCTCTTGCCTCTGTTCTTCTGAAGGACTCTTTGACCGGAAGTCGCTAATTTCAGTCAACGCGTTCTTTCTGGCTTTAGAAGCGGGCATATATCAGACAAACAAGCACGCTGAACAACTGAGACACCCGAAACGGCTCTCTTTCCGCATTGCTCAAAAAGAGAATATGCCACGTCATTTGATCTTATCAACACCCACTCACCGATGCCACGTTGGCAGCTCGATCCATTTTAACCCCCCTTTTTAATCAGCCGGAAGAAATGGCCAGCGGCTGGTTTTCCCTTTCGCCGGCACTTCGTATTGCCTTCCATGACAGTATACAGCGATGAAGTTTCACAAGGTCGTCGCAGAAACCCTCTCTCGAGAAGCGCTCCGCTGTGGATCGGCGGTGCTGTCTTACTGCTGGACTTTCCTCCGCATAGATACTAAGCAAATTTCTCCCCCTCCCACCCTATCTCTCGTTTTCTTCTCCTGTCGTTCGTTGCGTATACAGGAACGGGGATAAACGTGAAAGTTTTGTCCGAATAAAAAATAGGCTCTCACGGAAACCTCAACGTAATACGTGAAGTTTTCTTCACGTACCACCTCTCATACTCATATATACGATGTCGTTTAGAGTAGGAGTGTGATTATAGACAAATGTTCACATACATTTTCGTCCTTTGGTATTCTGTTTTCCTGAAAAGCAAAAAAAATTGTTTGTTTGGTGTTTATCTACCGGAACAAATAGAAAAACACGAGAATGGAGAACATAATTGTGGATCAAGAGTGCAACTATCGTAGGTGGTAACAGAAATATACACCCTAGTTTCTTGTAGACTATTTTTACTATTTTTCATTTGGTTTCCGGGCAAGAACACAAATAAAACTACAGAATTCCTAATTGAGATGCTGGTTTTTTGTTGCAAAGACTAGGTGAATCACATTGCTGGGCGTAAAGGAATTCATGATACCAACACGTTTACACGAAACTACCTATATATGGATACGTCCTCGTTCTGAATGTTATAAAATTGTCTTGCCTTGCGAGTAAGCACCGAAGCACACTCTTTGGCTTTCATAGTGACAAGGTTTTCTCCGTCGTCGTGTGCACACGTTTTCGCTCATTTGCTTCTGGTTCAAAATTATTCCTCTAAACCGAACCATCGCTGATATAGAAATCTTTTTGGGTTTCATAAAAATTCGTCAGACGGCTAATGAATATAAGAGATGTAACCTACCTGTGATTTTTTTTGCGAAAGACAGGTGTCACATTGATTTTCAATAAACGCCGGGCAATCGAATTGGGGTGCGGTCCTTTATAATATTTGAGTATTGATGCCTCATTGCTCAAGTTTCCTTGCAATCGCAAAAAACTGACAAATAGGATAAGCTATTCTATCGTGTCAATGCTTGCCGAAAGGGCTGCATCAAATAAGCTGCCTCCTACGCACTCATTTTAGGGGACGGAAGTTTTATTCTACAAGCGTAACTTGATTGTATGGCGATTTCACTAAACTCACTACCCGAAAACAAAATATATGGCGCAGCATGCATTCCATCTTGCTTCTAAGACGTGAAAGTCAGGCTCATCTGCTTTATTTCATTATAAGATACGTGATTTCTGTTTTTCTGTGTATTAACTGGAATTTGTAATTTATTCAGCGTATAAATTCACTCGAAATGTTTTAATTGAGTTCATGAGAACCTAAATACGGCCTGATTTTTAAACTATCGACTTCCTTCGTATTTGAGTTCAATGAACAACATATTGAAAATTATTACTTGCATTTTGGTGGACCACGAGCATTCCAAGGTGCGGTAGGAACCACTCAGGGTCGAAACTTCATATGCAGATTGGACACACTCGCAATCCGTTTTCATCCAATCATCCTGGTGTACCTTTTGTAGGTAAATTTTTCCTTCACTCTGAAGAAACTGAGTGAAAATAACAGTAGATGGGTCATTACAGTTCAAGGAATGTCACAAAAGGGTAATAGCATCAGTGCGCTCTGTAGACTGCTTGCAATGTCTGTTTACTAGAGCTTTTGATCACTAACAAAATGCTAACCGTCAGGAAACAGCAGTAAAATGTAGAAGCCAGTTTCAACGCCAATAAATTAGGCTTTCCATATACTCCTTTTAAGCACATCTTGGTATTTGTCCTGTACAAATCTTATTTTTTTAACGTATTTAGGTGGTCGTGGTGTTATAACGCATGTTAGATGAAGTGACAAGCTGTAACGGTACTGCCTCTTATTTAATGTGCAGAAGCAAAGAATTATTGAAGCAACTTCATGTCAAATTACGTAGGCGAGTTCCTGGTCGTAACATTGCCGTTAAATTTTTTAAATTGTTGTTTTGGAGCTTATATTTAGCGACCAAACAAAGAAACGTATTCCATCTGTAATTAGGCATTATACTAAATCATTAAACTGTATGCGATGTGCTGGAATATATGTCCTAGGTTACACCAAATCACGTAGCAAATGTCTCCAATGGGTAGTGTAGTTATGAAACGTTAGAAAGACGCAGGGGTGGAGGAAAGACCGAAGCGCATGACTTTGAACTCAAACAGACCGTCTGTTGTTACAAAATCAGTCTTTTATTGGTCTCCAATCAAACTAGGTTTGCCAACACTCAGTCTTGAGACTATTAACCAAAATAATTTGGAGTTGTCTATTCGTCGTCTAATTGTGAGAGAGTGTGCGCGTTCCGGTTTTTTGAGCTTGATTAGATGGCAACATCAACACAGAGGCGTTCGGTCCCACCTTTCTTTGCTAACAGAATGGATGACACCCACGGACTATTAGAACACTGGATGATGCTGCCATAAAGCATTTCGTTCACTTGTTTTGTTATGGCACTGCATTTACGCATCGAAACTCTATACCTACTCTGATGAAGTTACATCGCACTTTACTCTCCTGTAATGTCAAATTTTGCCCCTGAGGTCTGTCGAACTCTTGATGAGACCAAAAAAAAGTTTTTGTACTGAAGGAGCGTACTTCTCAGCTGTTATTTGTGCGTCAGAATGCTCGGAGTAATATTGAAAGCAGGTTGAAGAGCTTGATTTATCGGAGTAGTTAGGCAAAGCCAGGTAGAAAGTGCGGCTGCCTTTCTGAATATTTTCGGTGAAGGCGATCACCTTGCCTTTGTTTATGAGCTTGTACTCATCAGTGAAATTTGTGAGTAGCACCGTTGCTTTCCTTCTTCGCAGCTCTGTGTTTATTCTAGCCACTCTCAACAGCCCCTTCATTTTCTGTCGATTCTTGAGTGCTGTTGATACCGTCGGCGCTGAGCGCGGCGGAATAGTGACTCAGTACTCCAGTACATTTATGGCGTGCTTCCTGCTCATCGTGTCCGTAATAGTTTTTGTTTAGGATAAGGTTATCTACTTGAATCTCACAGCGACGGTTATGCAATAAAAGTAGCAAAAAGCCTCCATACCAAGGATAACGTCGGTCGAGTAACACTCCGATGCTGGTGGGATGAACAGTGTCTTTAATGGAGACTCTCGCTGTGCAGGCTCTTGATGTTGTTACTCGGTGATCGAAAGCTGTCTTTATTTTAAGACGAGTTCAAGCTCTTCTAGCTCCATTCAACTTCGCGGCGAACGACCCACTGATGACAGCATAGTTGGCTCTAGAACCGACGAGAGCTGTCACGCTGTAGCCATCGGTAAGAACGTTGAGCTTATTAGTACGTTCCCTTGTGCTGCAGTTAATCCATATGTCGGATAACAGCTGCGTATATGTGTTCAGTCACCTGCGCGTTTCGTCATAAGGTCTTCTTTGGACTGCGAAGTTTCAACGTTACATCCCTATTCAGCTCGTGGTGGGCTCTTCTAATTTCGTTGTTCTGTTGTCATGGACAGTGGAGAATTTTCAGTGTTTTATTGTAGAGCAAGTGTAGCTCCCTCGGTCTCTGCCTTGAGTTTCTTGGTAAGGGTGAAATAAACGAACCCGATTTAGACAAGTGTTCGGTGGGTGGCCCGGTGACACCTAGCAGCCGGTTGATGGTGAACGGGGTGATCATTGTCGTTGCTATTGTGATGTAGTTGGCGATGTTGGGAACGCATTTACCTGGCTTTGGACACTACGGGCTGATGGCGATGCCACATAGCCCCTTCTGTCGATACCGGCAGCTTATTCACTGTGGTAGCAAAATTGGTGATGGTCGCGAGTGTACCACACTTCAATCTTCTTCGGAGTGGTGTTGTGGTCAACTTTTGAATGGTATGGCACAGGTGGCAATGTCGGCGTCTGGCAGCAGAACTAAAGTTGTTGGCACTGTAGTGTTGGCCCGAAGACTAGAATTTCAGGCTGTTGCAGTACAGGTGTGCCCAATCATGCTGCATTTTCTCTAGAACAAGATCGGGGATAGGGTAAGGTTGTGGTGAAGGTGACGGGAACACTCGACGAAGCTGCTCGTAGGCACATGGTTGCCCGCAGTTCCTGTGAGCAGAGTGATTGAAGGTCCGAGTAGCCTGCGTCAAACGTCGTTTGAAGTGATGGGTGCGCATCGACGGTAGTCTTGTAGATTGTGGTTTCTTTGCATCTGATAGGCAATCGTGGCTGGTCTTGGGTGGGCTCCCCATCAGTACTGCAAAGAGCTCCTGCGTGGCACGTTGAATGAAGAATTGACCTTTCTTCTCATTGGTCATGTCACCTTCGGCGTAATCTCCTCTGCAAAGATGGTGATACTTTCATTCGGTAGCAGCAGCCGAGTTTCTAGTAAAGCGGTAGCCCTTTTCTTTCTTACGACACTCGTGAACAGCTCCGAAAAACGGCCGCGGAAGTGCTCCTAGATTCGAGGTGTCAATTCGTGGTTCTCAAGACATGTCTTTGTTGCTTCCCAGTGGTTGAAAAACACATGGTGCAGCCTATTTCGCAAAGCGAAATATTCAACGATGTGACCGTTTCGAGCGCCTCCAGCCTGGTTGTGAGGTCTTCACTTGGCGAACCACGAAACATTATTTTTTTCTGGGTGGTTTTACCACTATCGATGCAAGTGTTAATGTTTCCGCACTGAAGGTTTTACAATGACGGCCCCTGAATCGGTGCACACACAAAGATTTCTTGCTTGATTTGGGCGAGAGTGTTCTTATTGCTAGCGCCCATGTTTGGAGTCATCGCTGTGACGCGCAGGCGCCGAAGTGGCGCCGACCCGTTTCGCCACAGTGCCCCCCCCCCCCGCGCAGACAGGAACAGTCAGGGTTGAAGAGGTTTGGAAACCCGCACCTGGCGTCCAAGGCGGGTGGCGTAGGGTGCGAGCCTAGGCTTTGCGGGTCAGCGAATCACGGGAGGCGTGCGGGGGTTGGTAGGCTCCTGGGAAAGGATGTATGATGGCTTTAGGCGGTCGATGGAAACGCGTACATCCTTTCCACTGGTTTGCAGGGTGAATTTTTTGTCGTCGCGACAGATGACTTTGTAAGGTTTAGAGTAAGGCGGCTGGAAAGGTGCGCGCGCGGTGTCGTCGCGGAGGAAGGCATGCGAGCATGTTGCCAGGTTCTTAAACACGAACGGTGTCGGCTTGGTGTGGCAAGCCGCTGGTGAGGGTCGCAGCGCGCCCATTGTGCGACGGAGTTGAGTGACGAAGTCTGCAGGGTCCGAGCTGGTTACATCAGAGGGCGGAGCGGAGAGTTCTCCAGGTAGGCGAAGCGGCTCCCTGTAGACGAGTTCTGCGGGCGTGGCTCGAATGTCTGGCTTGATTGTTGCACGCAGACCGAGAACGGCGGCGGGGAGAGCTTTGAGCCAGGTTGAGTGAGGGTGGCACATGATGGCTGCCTTGAACAGCCGGTGAAAGCATTCAATTATCCCGTTGGCGCAAGGGTGGTAGCTAGTTGTCCGTGAACGCTCGAACCCGGTGGAGAGCCCGAGGAGCCTAAAGAGTTGAGATTCAAATCGCCTTCCTTGATCGGTGGTGACTCGACGAGGAGTGCCGTAGCGTGAAAGAAGGCTGATGCGACGTCTTCTGCGGTGATCCTTTCGAGCGGCCACACCTCTGGCCAACGAGTGTGACAATCGATGGCGGTGAGGCAATAGCTGTAAGGCCGGCTGGTCGGAGAGGGCCAATGATCTCGATGTGGACGCGCTGGAACCGTTCCGTCGGGAGGGAGAATTCTCGGAATTCTCCAAGTGGCAACGTGACATGCCGGGTGATTTTTGTGCGCTGGCATTGAATGCATGTGCGTGCCCAGGTGCGGCAGTCCCGTTGCATTGAGGGCCACGCATACCGGTCAGTCACGAGGCGTGTAGAAGCTCGGATGCCGGGATGACTGAGGTTGTGTAACTGGTTGAAGAGGCTTTGGCGATGCAAAGAAGAAACGTATGGTCGCACTCGACTTGTTGATATGTCAAAGTAGAGAGCGTCCGTTGACCCAGGAATGGTAACTTTTTGAAGTTGAAGGGATGAGCCATTCTTGAGGAGCTGCTGGAGTTCGGTGTCCGTTTTCTGAGCTTCGGCAAAGGCGTCGGTTGTAACGGTTGGTAGCTCGACAGCCGAGACGCGAGAGAGTGCGTCGGCGACCACGTTTCCTTTCCGCTGGTGTGGCGGATATATGTGGTGAATTGAGCGATGAAGGACAGCTGGTTCTGCTGGACCGGTGGAAGTTTTTCGCGGCGTTGGGAGAAGGCGTAAGTGATAGGTTTATGGTCGGTGTATATGGTGCAGTGCTGTGCCTCGAGGATGTGACGAAATTGTTGGACTGCTTCGTAGATGGCAAGGAGCTTTTTGTAGTAGGCTGGCCAGGTCGTCTCCGCAGGGGGCGAGGTTGCATCGCCGATGCTGCCGGAAGGCGGGGCGGCTTCGGGGAAAAGAGTTTCTTTGAGAAGAACGCCAAGGGGCGCCAGTTGTTTCCCACACGCTGCATAAGAGAGGCTCCGACGGCGGTGCTAGAGGCGTCTGTGAAGAGATCCAGGGGTGCCTCTGGTTTG